TCACTTGGTATATACCAACCTTGCTCATATGACACTTATGACAAAGGTTAGTACTTAGCTTTCATCAATTAGCTAAAACCAAACTAGGGCTATCAGGTGCACCGGACAACCGACACACCTATGCATGCTAAAAAGATCACAAACACTGGCTACCTACATTGGGTGCACTGGACAGGCTGTCTGGTGCTGCACTAGTAGCCATCGCCTCTCTCACATTATGCCCCATGCACTATTCCTCAACAAGAAATTCTTGTTGAGCAGAGAGAATTTCTAGTTGAGCCTCTCTCTCTCACAGCACGTGTCCTCTCACCCGCTCTCTCTCTCTCCAGTCCCACACCTCTCAACAAGAATTTCTTGTTCATGAGGGAGGATTGCCGGTTGAGCAGCAACTCCTCTATTTTCTCCCTTTTTAAGTGCTATTTCTTCTCAAATGTACCAAACAAATTTGGCACTAAGAAATAGCTTTTCACAAAGACTTTTTCAAAGGTTTTTTCACAAATGTTTTGCTTGCTCTTTGTTTTGCACTAGGCCTAAATGCATATGCAAAGTATTCCAACACCTAGTAGCACTAGATGACCAAATTGTCCAATAAGAGCTCCCCTCTTAATAGTATGGCTATTTATCCTAAATCCAATCACGCACTCTATTGCGTCTTGATTGGCAAAACAAAATCCCGATTTATACCTTTGCCTTAATCTCCATAGGGTTTTGTTTTTTCCTTTCTTCTTTTCCAAAGTAGAGCACTTGATAATCATCACGTACATGTGGCCATCTCCATCAACCTTGAGTGCCACCTAGCCCCACCATGGTGTGATCCAACCTATCTCATGACACTTAGAGAAACAAGATTAGTTCACTTAGGTTTCATCAATTATTCAAAACCAAACTAGGGCATTCAAGCTCAGGTGGGGGCATGCTGGCCCGAGCACGGGAAATGGGAGTGCAGCGCGGGCGTCCATCTGGATGTTCGGGCGCTAGCACAGCTATGGGCCATTCTAGCGCCCGGACGTCCAAACGCACGCGCGCGCCTGGACGACCTCGCACCCTTGTGCTGCTACGCCTGCTGGTTTGCTGCGCCTGCCCACGATGCTTTGTGCCTCGTGCCTACTGCTGCGCCTGCCCACATGCTTCATGCCCCGTGCCTGCTGCTGCTGCACCTACACAGGAGAGCATGTGCATGAGGCCCGCCCAGCTGCATGTGAGAGAGAGGGTGGGAGCACAGTGCGCATACCCGTGTTGACCCCGGCTGCATTCTCCACCTTGGGGGACCAAGCTTGGTGGTGTAGGGGCATCTGGTTCTATGTCCGTTGGCTGCTGGCCTGCTCTGGCGCTCTACATGCATGCATGCACTTAAAACAGGGAGCGCTCGGCCATTTGGGCACTGATCGCCCGTTGCGTGCACGTCCGACTATTGGAGCTAGCCCGCATGACAGAGATAGGCAGTGCTCAATGGGTGCATGTAGCGCGTGCGTGCCCATAAGTCAGAGCGCATAGGGAGCAGCACCTACTGCAACGTACTAAAACTAGATGAAATAATTAAAACATACATTTGCAACATATGTGTATAACCACTACAACATATAACAATATCCAGATAAAACATTTGCAACATATGTCTAAAATAGGTGAAACATTTGGAACATACACTTGCAACATACATGTATAGCCACTGCAACATATACAACATCCAGATGAAAACATGCAACATATAAATAAAGCAACTAAAATATTTGGAAAACACACTTGCAACATACGTGTATGGCCACTCAACATATGCAACATCCAGATGAAAAACTTGCAACATATATTTGGAACAGCTGAAATATTTGAAATATACACTTGCAACACACGTGTATATCCATTGCAACATATGCAACACCAGATCTACTTTTTGCAACATCCAGATGAAACATATGCAACATACGGTTGCAACACATGCTCATCTACTTGCTGCCGCCCAATGAAGGCTAATGCAGGCGCGCGCGCGGGGGAAGCAGCGCACGGCGTGAGGCGCGGACGGCGTGAGGCATGGGTGGGTGTGCCCGACATGAGGCACGGGGCGCACACGGCGTGAGGCGGGTCCGGTGTGACCGTGCAAGGTGCGAGGTGCAGGGGCACATGACGTGAGGCAGGAGGTTGTTGACGGTGAAAATGTCATAAATCTATATACTCAAAACACCATCAGCAGCCTCAATTTCAAAGGGAGAATAGCATGTCATGAGCATATTTTACCAATAACAAGTTCCACTTGTACTTTGAGCATGTGTATGCAGGATGTCACAAAACTAGAAAAGATGAGCTTGTGGGGCCCTATATGGAGGTCGCCCGACCTCTACTTGGGCCCACCAAGCTATCCACATATGCCATCATGATGAACAATGCTTCTAGAAGCCACCTACAGAAGATGGGCTGATTTGGCCCCATATGGAGGTCAGACGACCTACCCAAGGAGCCTATCAGCCACTGTAAGCTTCCATGATCCATGTCAAGGTCCCCAAAGTCAATCTTCATCCTTGGATCACAAGTGTGCTTTTCTCTCAACGGCTGGAGATGAGAGCACATGGATCCATGGGCCCACATGAGAAGCAAACCGACGTGATAAGTGAAGAATATGCATCATACACACCTTATGACATGTGGGACATGCTTCTAGAAGAAAAGGGGAGGGCCTACCTATGATTGGGAGGTCGGTCGACCACACTTGGGAGCCAACTGGCCTAAAATTGCACCCACCGCCTTAGTGCGTGCCTCCATGCATGCCAAGCCATCCATACCATTGATCTAAGGTCAGTTCAAGGTCGGTGGATCCAAGGGCCATGGTGAGGAGGCACACGGATTGCTGACATGGCATCCCCTCTACCTCCACCTATAAATAACCCCTCACTCTCTCTCATTCAAGACACACCACAAGGAGCAAGCATCTCCACTCTCTCAAGATGTAGTAGTGTTAGTATAGTTGGGAGTTAGAGTGAGTAGTGGGCTTAGTCTCCAAGTTCTGGATCTGGTCTTCCAGGAGGTTTGGTATAATCTTGTATCTCTCTCTTTGTAAGACTCTACTCTTATATTTATATTCTTGCTCTACTTTACTTAGCATATGATTTGTGCAACATTATACTTGTTATATTGTGGTTATGGTTTATTTTAGTATATAGTTATTTCATATGAGATTGTGATCGAAGCCCACACCTGTATTGCGATCATCACCTGTCATAGGGTGCTCTAGCTGAGCTTATGTACACAGCTAGAGTAGTGAGAGAAGGTGTGAGCATGGTGCTTATACACTATCTTGCCTTTGGGTATCGCTTGTTGCACGGATAGTTAGTGGTAGCTAGCAGGTGATGACAGTCCGGCCTAGCCTTCGTATTCCACCACGTGTTATAGGCAAGTTCTTAAAAGGTAAGGCCCCCATAAAAAGGTAGCCGCTTCAGATAGGGTTTCATTCCCTATTGTCTCGCCTATCATCTAGCATACTTATTGTGTCAACTCAATCTCTATGTTGCAATTGTATGATTAAGGTATAACCATAGAAGTAGAGTTTGAACCTTTGGAAATCTTATACTCACTCGTTGTCCTCCCCACTAGCTAGACTGCTTATCTTTATGTTTGGACTTCTCCTGTGTGTGTCATTGCCCATATCATATACATCATTTACCCCCAGTCTAGTCTAGTTGGTATATTAGTTGGTAGATACATGATGGTTAGCTATCACATTCTTTAACCATTGCTTCCCTGAGGATAAATATGATACCCTAAAATACTCCTAGGTGAAATACTACAACGGTATTTAGGTGCGCTTGCGGAATATTCTATATGAGCATAATAAATACTAACAGAGGAGCAAGGGCATGAGGCGGGTCTGGTGAGACCATGTGAGGCGCGAGGTGCGGGGGCGTACGACGCGAGGCGAGAGGCACAGGGGCGCGTTGCGCGAGGCAGGTCCGTCCTGTTCAGTCAGACGTCCTGATAGGAGCATTACCGTTTTTTTACAATTGTATTACATTAAGACATGAAAAGCATGATACAAAGGATTGAGAAGACAGCTCCTAAGAAGTACATGTGTCATAGCTACAAATATAGAGTCAACACAGTGACTCGTTCAGAGGTGCTAAATAACAAAGATACAAAAAAGATCTAAAAAAACTAGTCTACAGTTCCAGAGTAGCCAACAGGAGATGTCATTGCTGGGGGTGCCAAGCCTTAAAAGAGAAGTGGCCACAACAATGACATCTAGGATCCTCATTATCGCACTCCGATAATATAGTCGGCACTCACGTCGACTGTCTGATCGGCCTGTGTCTTCAAAGATTTAAAATCATGACCCGTGGATATTGATTGCGCATAACCGGACTTAAGATGTGGGCTCTATTTCTATCAACGTTGAATCTAATGACCATCTTCGACGAAGATCGGAGGTCAAAAAAGTAAAGCTTTGAAGTGTAATCGAATGTACATGTACCATTTGCTGTATAACAAAAAAGTGTCGATCCATGCTTGGCCATATCCAAATTGTAATCGAATGTAATGTTTGTCCTGGCACGTGGCAGAGCACTGTCCATACTAATGCCCAACATGTGGAAGATGCAGGGCCCACAACACACTTCCACTCTATGCCTGCATAGATGTCCAATGGGCCGGCCCGGCCTGGCATGGCCCGATGGGAGTTAGGCTAGCACGGCACGCCGTGCCTCCCAAGCCATGCTGAAGCGGGCTTCGTGCTTGGCCATCGGCCCAGGCACGGTCCTATGGGCTGATTTTTGTGCCGGGCTGGCCCATTGAGCACGGCGCATCCAGCGTGCCGCAGCCCATGGCCCGCCACAGAGCCAGAGAGTAGAGAGAGAGGCAGGACTACGGGAGGCGATGGCGGCGCTCGACGTTGGATCCCACGAGAAGAGAAGGGGATGAAGGGATTTGGCGAGCCACGGGAAAGCAGGAGCTCGAGGCGTCCATGGCCGGTGGGGCGGGACTTGAGCATGCCGCGCTCGCACCCAAGGCACGGCCTCATGGAGGGACGGGAGGAGAGGAGCCCGAGGCAGGTCATGGATGGCCGCCGTGGCGTTCTATAGCTTGTGCGCGAGGAGGAGGCGAGTGGCTGTAGGGTGGAGAAGCAGGTGAACGGCGGGGAAGGAGAAGGCCGCGTCCACGCCACGCGTGCGTGGAGTCACGTTGCGTCCGCGCGTGTGCGGGGAACGGGAGGTGGCGACGGTGCATCTTTTGGATGGGAATGGGAAGGGAGTTAGGGTTACGAGGATAAGAGTATATATTTGATTGGGGAGTTAGGGTGGGGTCTAGGCTCTTAGCAGGCCGACTGGCAGGGCTGCTACCGGGCCCACATGCCTGAGTAGCAGCCTAGGCACGGCCTGCTCCACCGAGCTAGGCCAGCCTAGGCCCGCTGACCATCGGGCCGTGCCATGCTTGGGCCGGACCAAAATTACGTGCTTCGTGCCAGGCCGTCGTGCCTCGGGCTGCATGGACATTTATAGCTTGCAGCAAGAAGTTGTCTGGATTCTGCATCGTTAGCCTTGGGATGTCTCCTCCACAGACTAGAGAGAGACGACACCGGCGAGCTTGAACAACAAGCTCCATCGGCGATGGAGAAACACAACAAATACTCTACGGTGTGGCAGTCGTAGCACGTACAAGCTTTGGACCAACACCCACTGGAACGACTCAAGGTTGCCCATGATAGGTGAGACAGAGTCTCGTAGGGACAACCTGAGTGCACCATGGACAAAGAGACCCAGAGCAAAGAAAGCAGTAGCAGCGGAGAAGAACCGAGCAGCGGCACACGCTTGGGAAACACCATGTTGCCCCCTCGTCCACCTAGCACAGGAAGAAGAAGGGATAAAGGAGAGGGCTTTATTAGTTCACTCACCACGCCATGCCAGTGGAGACTGCCGCCGGCAACCACGCCGGCAAGAGTCTGCCTGCCACCAATAGGACGAAGTAGAGCAGACCCATCAGCCTCAACACGGTATCCATCTAGATGAAGCTTATTTAAAACCGACTTGTTAAAGCTAAAAAGGAGGACTGCAGGGCTGACCCACATCCCAAGCACCGGTGGCAAAGCGCCTCTTGGTACCGATAGTTTTTTTCCAAGAAATGCTAAAGAAAGCAACTCGAAACCATGATTTAGTTGGCTTCACGGTGGGCACCACTACCACCACGTGCATACTGAGCTGGCTAGTTTTCTCTTGGGCAAATGCTACATGATGTGCCTCCGATGGACCACTTTTTCACCCTACCCTTGCTCCCGCCGCATGTATATTAAAAAACTTATTCCTTTGCTTCCTCCTATCCATCCTTACTCCTTCCGCGCTCCTCATCCCGTGTCGCAGCGAACCAACGCCTGGCGTCCTCCCCCACCCCGGCGTCTTCACCGTGAGTGATAAGGACATGAGCTCCATGCATATGACCATGCTTGGAGATAGAGGCCGAGGAGATCCGCTAGGTTGTCCTAACCAAGAAGGGGGCCCGAAGCTCATCCGGTTCGAGTCACCGAGGTGGAGGCCCAAATCAAGTTCGAGCCCATCTCGGGTTCCAGGACCAGTCTGTCATAAAACTGGTCACACGGGCACGTACGGGCTCTGTTTTCGACGATCCACATATGGATGGAAAGCTAATTCGATAAGGAAGCCAATGCAAGTGGTCTCATGTTAAAAGCCCTTCAGAATCAACGGGAATCATCAAAATAAGTCAGTGTCCAAAATCTGACAGGGTGTTGCGACACCGTCTTTTGGTCCGTTGGACCCTGTATTGTGTTTGGGCCCGTTAGGAGCGCGTCCAGGGGGGTGACGCCCAAGACTCTATAATTAGCAGCCGTCGCTCTCCTTAGGGTTTGGGATTTTGTTTAGTTCTTGATTTTCTCGTGAAACAGACATCATTTTGCTACAACTGTGCCGCCAAGGCTGCTTGCTGTGAACCAGGGCCCTAGTTCTTGATCTTGTTCGCCTATGGCGATTAGTCCTTTCGAATAAAGACTTGAACTCCTTCTTGTTTTCTTAAGCCTCATATTTATTTACAATTTTAGATTGCATTCATCCTGTTCTTGCTTGTGTTCTCGATTCGCTTGCAGGAAAGCCTTTTCGGCGAGGTCAATCGCGTTCGCGTGGTTGATAACCAACGGAGCAGTGGTGTAACGGTTGCGGGGGTCCGAATCAGTCTTGGTTCGAAGCCTAGATCGTGAACGTTGAGTCTCCATCAATCGACGCTATCGTGCCTATCGGAAGATCAGGCCTTGTCTACATCAAGTGTTATCAGAGACCTTATTGCCCATTAGGTATACTTTTATTTTCCCTTTAGATTGTTACTGGTTTTGCATTACCTATAGTCCAAAAAAGCCAAAAAAATATATACACCGCCACATATACCCTGTCCTATAGCCTCGTTGTGCCATGCAATTTCGTCTCTGTTTCGTGTTGTTGAGTTTATGTCCTAGGACAAGTTCTGGTTGCTGGTTTTAGATCGTTTTTAGTCTAGTTTGTGTCTTTCCATTTGTTTTTCATCATAATCCGTGAACACCTTCAAATCTTGCTGTGTTTCCTTTGTATCCATCAAACCCTAGTCCACGCCATCTAATTTGTTACACTTGTCTTCACTGTTTGCATCTATCCATAGCCGCCGCAACAACTTTTGCGCGTATTATTCTCGTTTTGTCCTCTAATTCGAAGTCAGTTTTTAAAACTGGTCTAGTTTTCGCATATGAACTCGGATTTTGACGTTCTATATATTAAAATCGATCAAAAAAATTTTGGATCCGTCCGTCCACGCTTTGTCAGGTTCGAAAAATTTTATTTTAGCCAAAAACTGGTCACAAGATCCTCTTTTCGTGGTCATAAGCTTTTTATCAATTTTGAGCACGTCTTCTTAATTTTCCACGGGCCATGCCTTTCACTTGTTTAAGCTCATATTTTATGTGGTTACTTCTTTTGTGCTCCTAAGTGAAAAAAATATCAAAAAAAGAAAAAGTCAAAGAATCCCAAAAAAACAACGACAGCCCAAAAATAGAGAAAAAAGAGAGGGCAAAAGTGAAACAATATCTAGAGGAGCACATAGAGAGCGCCATTTGAGCTGTGTTTGTGTGTGCTGATTTCTGCCTTGTTCCTAATCATATTTCTGCTGTTCACATCACTTGATACATCTGGTACTTGGAACGTGAGTAGGCCAGCAACTAAGATAAGTACTCGGGATACTTATTTAGCTTTGCTATTCAGTTGTGAATTTTGCTATTCCTTGCTACTATATTGTGTCTGTCCAAGCTCCACTTTCTTCTAACCAAGTACAAGTTCGCCTTGCAACTGTTACACTCAAGCTACAACGGTATCACAGTCACCGATCGATTGCACCGCCTGTTGCTTTGGTAAGAACACTTATAAGACCGTGGTAAAACGCTTGAGAGTGTGTGACTTTACTCCTTGACCACATCCTATAGTAGCTGATAGGAAAATACATACTTGTGTGTTTTCTTATTTGATTCTAACAATGATAGGTTGTTCGTATCCATCAACTTATGATGGTATAGGTGTTGATGAGTACATGGAGTGGGAAATTGCCATAGATAACATATGTGCTACTCGCTTTATGTGTCCAAGGAGGAAGGTAAAACTACAGCTAGTGTTTTGTGACATTCTGCTTTATCTTGGTGGGAGTCTTTAGATCATTCTGATAAACCTCAAACTTGGAATGATATGAAACTCCTTATGCGAGAAACCTTTGTTAATCCACCTCCTGTTTTGACTTTATATGCTGAGGTGCACCATTTAGAGGAAGAGTCTGTTGTTATTCCTCTTGCTATGACTAACATTCTGCAGGATAATGTACATAAGCAAGAGGATGACATGGAAGAAAATGAGGAGCTCACAACCTCAGATGCAAATTCAGAACCATCACTTCACAATGCACCTATTACTCCTGCTGAGAACACAGGTACTGCCCATGGTGCTACACTCATGGAAGGTGAGAATTATTTTAATGTACTAAATTTTTCCACAAACCATGCTATCATAAAGCAATTGTTAGTGGAACCCTCTCTTGATTTATCTTTGTTCCATGATAATTTGCTTGATGTTCCTTGTGATAAAGATGAATTGATTGATGATGCTTTAGTTTTACATGTTTTGGAACCAATCACTTGTGCTGAAAATAACCATGTTATTCATATTGCTACTAAAACTGATGAGCTTAAACTGTTGTCTTCTTTACATACTTTGGGTTACATTAAATTTGATGTTTTGTGTAACCTAAATTGTTTGGAGGAGAGCCTTTTTAAATATGCTGATTTGCCTTGGTTTTCTAAATACACATATCATGTTATTGGCAAATATAACAACAAAGGACAATATATGATACATTGAGTATACGTTCATAGTAATATGAATTCTCCTTTTGTTGTACAAGACTTTGATCGTTTAGAGGGCAGCCATAATAATAACAAACATTTTCTCATGTTTCTCAAAGAAACAAGTTCATCACTTCCAAGAAGGACACCATTGTTGGTTGCTACTTATGTCTGCTAGACTATCTATTCCTGCATTGTCTTTGGTTAGTTCTAATCTTTTGCAGGATAGTGTTGACATATATCGTGTGCATTCGGATCATGGAGTCTACATGCTTGCTGAAATTTTTATGCAAGAAGACACGCTAGAAACTTGGAAACATGGTCACGTTCCTTCTCACAATTATTTCAGTTCCCTTTGTCTTCGCAACCGTGTTCTCTTTTGTGTTGTGCAGGATCAGTTTCAAGCACAATCGATGCCGAGGATGGCTTTTCATCAAGAAAGGGAGGATGATAAGGACATGAGCTTCATGCATACGACCATACTTGGAGATAGAGGCCGAGGAGATCAGTGAGGTTATCCTAACCGAGAAGGGGGCCCGAAGCTCATCCGGTTTGAGTCACCGAGGTGGAGGTCCAAATTAAGTTTGAGCCCATCTCGAGTTTTAGGACTAGTCTATCATAAAACTAGTCACACGGGCGCGTATGGGCTTTGTTTTCGACGATCCACATATGGATGGAAAGCTAATTTGATAAGGAAGCCAATGCAAGTGGTCTCACGTCAAAAGCCCTTCGGAATCAATGAGAATCGTCGAAACAAGTCAGCGTCCAGAATCTGCCAGGGTGCTGCGACACCGTCTTTTGGTCCGTTGGACCGTGTATCGTGTTTGGGCCCGTTAGGGGCGCGTCCAGGGGGGTGATGCCCAAGACTCTATAATTAGTAGCCGTCACTCTCCTTAGGGTTTGGTTTTGTTTAGTTCTTGATTTCCTCGTGAAATAGACATCGTTTTGTTGCAACTGTGCCGCCAAGGCTGCTTGCTGTGAACCAGGGCCCTAGTTCTTGATCTTGTTCGCCTGTGGCGATTAGTCCTTTCGAATAAAGACTTAAACTCCTTGTTTTCTTAAGCCTTATATTTATTTACAATTTCAGATTGTGTTCATCCCGTTCTTCCTTGTGTTCTCGATTCGCTTGCAGGAAAGCCTTTTCGGCGAGGTCAATCGCGTTCGCGTGGTTGATAAGCAATGGAGCAGTGGTGTAACGGTTGCGGGGGTCCAAATCAGTCTTGGTTCGAAGCCTAGATCATGAACGTCGAGTCTCTACCAATCGATGCTATCGTACCTATCGGAAGATCGGGCCTTGTCTACATCAGTGACCCCCCAATGCCCGCAGATTCGGTGGGCCTCTCCTCCACCTCGGCGAGATTCATGGAGCACGAGCGAGATCCACTCGCCTCCAGCTTGATCCATAGAGGTGGTCGCGGCGGTGTTGTAGGGGAGTGGGCAACTCTCCCTCACCCTGGTGCGGCGCCCTCCCCACCCCGGCGGCGCCCTCTCTCACCTCGGCGAACGAGCTCCCCCCACTCCGACGACCATGGCTATTCCCGCCCCTCATCCTCCATCGTCGCCGCCAAGCCAAGCCCGGTGCCGGTGGCGCTGGTGGTGGTGGTGCTCACGCGTGCCGCTAGTGGTGGTGCTGGGTGGTGCTCACGCGCCGACTCCCACCCCGTCGCCCAGAATTGACCGGTCGAGGCCTCTTTCCCCCTACGTTGCAAATGTATGTTTCAATTATTTCAGACGTTTTAGAGGCATGTTACAGATGTTTCATATGGATGTTGCAAAATTAGATTTGGGGGTTGTTTCATATGTTGCAAGTGTTTCAGAGGCATATTACAAGCGTGTGTTCAAACTGTTTTATCTGTTTCCAGACGTATGTTGCAAGCGTTTTGATTTGGATGTTGCATATGTTTTCACACATATGTTGCCAACAGTATGTTCCAAAATGTTTCATCTGTTTCAGTCTTCTGTTGCAGCAAGTGTTTTTATGCTGCAAGTTGCAAGTGTTCTATCTAAATGTTGCATATGTTTTCACACATATGTTGCACCGGGGAATGGGCGTGGCGAGCCGGTGGCTGGCGGACGTGGCGTGCCCCGCGCTAGGGTCAGCGGTTGGGGTACGACAGGGTGGGGGTGCACCTGCGAGGGTGGGGCGAACAGATACGGATAGGGAAGGTGCACTGTGGTGGCTTGGCGAATGGATGGGGATGAGGCGAGGTACGCGGATGGAGGCGGGTCAGGCGTCAGGACGGGCTTGTCAGGCATGCGGACGGGCATGTGATGGAATTGATCCCCATCGGATGTCCATCCGCTAGCATTTCGGTTTCTCTTGTGCATACCCTTCTAAAATTTCATTATGGTCATCAATTAGCGCTAGTTATTAGTAGCTCAAATTAGATGAAAGTTGACCAGCTAGTTGGTTAATAATAAATTATAGACTTGTTAAAAAATTAGTCTACCTATTAGCTTCTTGTTTAATTAGATTAGAACTAATTTTAGCTTATTTTTAGTTATCCAAAAAAAATTAGTATCAAACAGAGAGACCTTGCATCTTTGCCACGCAAAACGGGCGTAAAACCATGGTCCAGTTATAAGGCAGCCCGGCGGCCCGCGCAAATTGAGTGCGAGTCCTCAAATCAGTCGAAACGGCTTTCGGATCTTGACGCACGACAACCGACCCTGTCCTCATCAGCAATCCAAATCCAAACCGCCGCGGCCGCAGCCCGCAGCCGCAGGCTTCCCTAGTTCCGTCAGAAATCCCCCTTCTCGAGTCCGTCTCCATCTCATCCCTCCCACCCGAAATACATCCAGCCGGCGCCAACCCTAGTCGTCGGCCGAGCAGCTCGCTCGTCGCGCCTCGCGGGATCGCTCGTCCCCCGCCGCGCGGTCGCTCTGCGTCGACCCTCTTATTGTCTCCGTTCGACACCGCTTGGATCCGGTAAGCCTTCGTTCCCGACTTCCCGTCCCCCCTCTCCCTTCCTCGAATTGACGATGGCGCCTGGCTGTGTGATCCTTGTAGTCTAGGCCTGCGTGTCTGCTTTCGGTCTAGGGTAGCGGAGGCAGGGGAATCGATTGTGCCAGGTAGAACTGGTGCGTTCCACGCGATTGGCGTTGGTGGTGCTTTCTCGTAGTCAAATCTCTGAGCCTTTGTTTTGGCATGGTGATTACCTTTCTCGGATGGTGTAATTTTACAGGATAGGTTCCTCCTGTTTAGTCTGGTTCTATGTGTCATCCTTACTGATTGTTGATCCAATTGGGATATTGTGGCTCTTCCAGAGCCACGGCACCTGCGGTTTTTTTGTGAATCCAGGCCTGGTGCAGTGGTGAGAGCTGTCTCACTGAGTCACCAGGTCGTGGGTTCGAAGCAGCCTCTCTGCAGATTTTGTGGGGGAAAGGCTTGTCTCGGTTTATCCCTTCCCCAGACCCCACTCACGTGGGAGCCTCCGGCACTGGGTCTGCCCTTATTCAATCTTGCGCAGGTGGTAGGTCTAGGATGAATCACTATGCCTGTATATCTCGTTGTCTGAATCACTTATTAGTTCTTCAGTCTTGGCAAGCGTGCTTTGTGGTGCAAACTTGTTGGCACCACCAAATGTTGTCTATGGCAAGAAGGGGCTACCTATTTTTTAGGCTATAAAAGAGCTATCATGCGGGCAGCGATTAACTAGAAGCTAGCAGGTGGCGTCTGGTCTTGCTCTTGTTATAATTAGGTTAGTTGGGTTTGCTCCCAAACTGAAATAGGTTTCCTTTCTGAGCATAGTTGTTAGATTTGGACAGAATGGATTTCTGGCTGTTTGCTTCAGTTTCGTTTCTTAGCAAACTTCATCAAATATGGTTGTCATGTATGAGAGTAGTTTCATTCAGGTCATGGTTGTATGGGTACGGGAAATTAGTGTAGCTGGTTTTGCTCATAAAAAGGGTCTAATGTTGTCTTATTGCAACTTTTAAGTTGGAAGTAGTAGATGTCTTTATCTTATCTGTCTGGGGGCTTAATATACTTTATTTAACCTCTCACTAGCTTGAATTTAGTGGTGCTCAAATTGGGGCTTCATATACTTTATTGAACTTCTCACAAGCTTGAATTTACTGCTACCTTTGTAGTTTCTGCTATGAATTAGGTTTTCTTCTTACTCTAATTATACTATGTATTATTCATATAGATAGAGATGGAATCACTGCCCCTCACAGCTGAAGCGATTGCTTTTACTGAGAAAAAGATGGACATGACTTTGGGTATGCTATTTGACCAAATTTCTTTTTGTTTAGTGATGCTAATAATTGATGTTTCAGTGTTGATTTAACTCATGTATTGTTTCTGTGTTTATTCAGAGGATATAATCAAGATGTCAAAGAAAAAGAATCCTGGAGGTAAGAAACCTCCCAGGCAGCCGGTAAACATATTAGCTTGGTGTACTCAATTTTGCATTTGTGAACTCCCTGTGGAAGTTTGTTGATTATATACCCTCCATTTCGTTATAACAGATCAAAAAGCGCCCATTCCAGAATGGCAACTCTAATAAAGGGAATGGCAAGGTTCAACGGTTTTTGGAATCTAGATCAACCATTAGACAAGTATGTTGCAATGACATTTAAATTGTTTTTTTTTTTTTCATCTTGTGTCGTGTTAAGTTTGTAATGTTCTCTTTGTGCTTAGGGTGTTCTTGCACAGAGAAGGTCAAATCTTGGTGGAAGTCAGTTCCCTGCTACAAAGCAGGCTGCGAAGAAGGCTGCTGCTATGCCAATGCACAACGGGGCTGTCCGTTGGAACAAGCCAAGGTATTAATCAATCACTATGTGTTTTTTCTCATTCCTTTTCTAGCCATGTTTTCATCTTAATGAATTGTTATGGACAGGTAAACAATGGTTCTTTTATTGCTTATGAGAAAGTTTACTGCATTCAAGGGGTTGTTAAATTTATTGAGTCATGCACCTTGGGTTATATTGGCTGAGAATGATTGTGATGCTGGTGTTTGCATGGAACTGCCTTAATTTCTCTGGTTATACACACGCAAGTTTATAAAGAACAATCAACCTCAAATTCTTGTGGCACAAGGCCTGTTTTCTTGGTTGAACTGCTACAAATATATGGTGAATATAACATATGAGCCTTAAAGCTTCATTGAAAGTTATGGCCTCTTCCTTTATTCTGGTTTAGCTGGTCAAATTTGTGAACCTGCTGGAACACCCTGGATAAGTATCTGCTGTTGCCTGACATTTTTCTATGAAAATTCACTATTCATGGTGTAATCTATAGCTGCTGGATGAGTGCTATTTTTGGACACCAGCATTAACTGTCTGAGGGTTACATTAGTGTTATTTGTCAACTATGGTAGGAAGGACTGAAGGAGATGTGATAATGGCAAGCATCTCATGCCACTGGTGATTGATCATCCAGATACAGGGATGTTACATCCCTGAGTTTGAATTGGTTTTGACTAATGACTACTGGCTCCCTTGCAGTGCTCACTGTTTATTTGTTTGAATGATGAATGTGGTATGAATCTAGAGTAGTGCTGCTAACCGGACAATTGTTGTATGCCTCCAAGGGAGTATATTTTGCTACTGCCTCCTATTCAAGTTGGCTGTATCCATAACAGCATGCCAGTTTTGAGCATTCTATCATAAAGTGCTATATGCTCCCCGTTGTTCACTGGTTCCCACAGAGATAATGCTTGCCTGCATTTCTGGATAAGAGTAAATCATGGTATCCTATGATTTATCTCAGTATGCTGAGCTGCATGGATGCTATCTTTTCAAGGTCAAGTGTTGGTATTTATTTTCATGATTCCTTATGTGACCTTGTTGGTTCTGGATCAGTGGTCACCAATTACATGACTTGAGTTTATCAGTCCAATCAATCAATAAGTTGTCAACTTGGGACATTGTTGAACCATGTGTGTTGAAATTTGGGTGGAAGTAAACAGTGTAGACTCTAGAATGTTGAGGGCCTTGGAAACCAAGAGGATGCACTAGATATTTTCAGTGACCATTTTATCATTTCTGTTTGATTTTATTTCAAAGCATGGTATGTACTCCCTGACTTCCCTTGAGAAGTGAGAATTGTATCCTTGTTTTTGATAGGGTATGGTGAGTTTGCTCAGAAAACAATATGGCTCTTGGTTCTCCGTTGCTTATGGTTCTTGGTACTTGAGCAGTCCTGCTCATGTGAGATACTAATGTTTTGATTTCGATGCAGTGCAAGTACCTTAGTGCAGAGGAGGCCTGTAGGTGATGCTTTTCAGAATGCCAAGGTATGGACTATGTCAAATGTTGACCTTAATGCAGAGTAAATAAGATAAACTGGCTGAAAAAGTAAATTGTTTTCCCAATGTGTATCTGATGCATAATAATCAACTTAAGATGTGTGCTTGATGGCATTCAACCCAGTCTTAATGGAGTTTTAGCTGTAGTTAAGGACGAACTTCACCTCTAGAGTCTAGCCGGAGGTCGAGGAGTTTCCCATCTCCTTGCTCTAGAGCCAGCCAATGGGTGAGTTCTCCTAGTAGTGGTCGAGGGTCAGGTCTTTGTTTAGAGAGAGACGGATTGTGCCTTGTGAAGTGTGTTGGGGTGTGTATGAGTAAGGGGTTCCTAACCCCCCCCCTTTTTCTTATTAATATAATGGTACGCAGCTCTCCTGCGTGTTCGAGAAAAAAAAAAGATGTGATGGCGATCTTTTGGTCTATCAATTGAACGACTTCTCTTGGAAAACCATTGCTATTGTAATTTATATTTTGTGTACTTCTTTCTTGATATGTTTTAATGTATAGTTTTCTCACATAATCCACTTTTTCTGGTATCCCCATGTCAGTTTATACCATCCGTATAGTTTCAGGACTGTGATGAGTGCTATACTTGGGTCCATTTTTATCTTTAGAAGTTGCATGATACATGAAACTGACTTGTATTTGTTTAATTAATATTTGTTGAATTATTCATGTCCTATAGTTTTTTTGTCGCTGCTGATCACTACGATATATAATCTATTTGTTGGTCAAGGAGTCGCAGAACCAGGCAGCACCAAGGACGATGGATGCACTCTTTGCACAGATGAAGGCGCAACGCATGAGGACTGTACCACAGCAGCAGGCAAATCCTGCCCCTGGGCGTCATTTCAACCAGCAGCGACTTCAGCAGCAGCAGAGGCGAGGTAGAGGATATGGTGGCCGTAATGTTGGCAACCAATGAATTCAACAAGGCATATCTGCTGCATCGAAGCCCTTTGTCTTCACTGGTCTTTTGGACCTTGGAAGAAAGGACGCCCCTGGGAAAATCTAACTTGGCTTTGTTTATTGGAGGAAAGGTTGTGGACAGAATATGAAGCGAAGTTTGTGTGGAGTTTTCTAGTTGCCTGCTTCCGTTTCAGCATGTATAATGACCTATGGAAATTATTTGGTGCTAGATTATGATGTCGTGTTTCTTGAGTTGATTAGGTTCATCTCTTCTTCAAAAGAATTAGAAGTAATTTACCTTTTACCATATGTATAAATTTTAAAATAACATTCCTGTGAGGTTGACAAGCTGGGTATATGATACTCCTTTTGTTACAAAATTATGACGTTTTGGTTTTCTAAATACAGTTGCTTTTACTTTGCTATATATCTAGATGTACTGTACATCTTAAGTGTATAGTCAAAGCTACGTGTATATAGAAACGATAATGATCCAACACAGGTGTCCAACCTTGACTCTTGTTCGGACGTTGCTCCACAAAAGCGGCCCCATATCTCTCAGAAATAATAAAAAAAAATCTACTCATATGCTTATTCATTTGGTCCTGAAGCAGCGTGGCCGCTCATCTGTCTGCTCCCTTCCCTCACCGCGGGCTCGGCGAGCTGCCGTGCCGTGCCCTTTCCTCATCGCCGGCCGCCTTGTGCACCCTCGCTCCCTCGCCGTCCATCCATCGACCATCACCGTCGGGCGAGCCGCTGACCCCGCCATGGCCGCTGAGGCGCACGTGCCATGGCGCATCAGGTCTTCCCCGGCCAAGCCAAGGGCACCCACGAGCGTGGCCGGTGCTGCTGTGCTCGCGTACCGCCACTCGCCGCCGTATCCCACCCCGACGACCGGAATCGACCGAACCCCATCTTCCCCTCCTCTATGTTGCCAATGTATGTTTCAACCTTTTCAGATATTTCAGATGCATGCTGCAATTGTTACATATGGATGTTGCAAAAGTGGATCGGGATGTTGCACATGTTGCATATTTTGGCAAGTGTTTCAAGTGGTATGTTGCAAGCATTTTCGAAAAAATATTTCATCTGTTTCACACGTATGTTCCAGGAAGTGTTTTATTTGGATATCGCATATGTTTCACACATATGTTGCGAGTGTTTTATCTGGATGATGCATATGTTTCACACATGTTGCAACAGTATGTTTCAAATGTTTCATCTGTGTCCGACATATGTTGCATCCACATGTTTTCATGCTGCAAGTGTTTCACGAGGGCACGGTGAGTGATGTGTGCACGGCCCAGGCGCTGGGGATGAGGCACGGCAGAGCTAGGGACTAGCAAACGGGGGCGCAGCGAGCTAGGGGCCGGCTCCCAGGTCCTACCCACAAGGAGAGAAGATGGGGTCAAGGGGAAGAGGCGGGGTGCAGCGGGGGGGCAGGGTGCGCGTGCGAGGAGGGGGCAGGCTGTGCGCCTGTCCATTTGGACGCGTGGAGCGGCAGGCGCAGCGTCGAGGGCAGGGTGCACGTGCGAGTCAGAGCGAAGCAGACGGAGGCAAGCTGCGCAGGCGTCCGGACGTATGTGTCCGTCCGAACGTCCGAGCGCTAGCCACGCCGATATAGAAAAGTTAACGTTTTATAATTTAGAATGGAGGGAGTATTATATGATACTGTTTTATCTGTTCATGGACCAATCGATTTTTGTCTTTGGCTTGTTTAGGAGAAACGATCTAGGAATATTAGTATTAGGATTTAGGAATCGTTTGGTAGTGCTCCACGAAGCAGATTACCATGAATCAATTTTGCTCAACAATATATTAAAATTTAACAGATTCTGGTGCAACAAAACCACTTATTTATTTACACTAGTAGCCAGAGTGGGTTTTCTGTTAAACCCAGCAGGAGATCTACCAAACAGTTTTTCAGAAATAAGTAATTATCTACTGATCCCGGTTACTTGGAATGAACTAAGAGGCCGAGAGCTGAAAAAAGTAACTCGTCAGAGTGTTGGCATGATGCAATGCAACATAGGCTGCCTCGGCTCCAGCATCCATGCTACGGCTGTTGCGTGAGGGCTTGCCGACGTGGGTCGTGCTCGGTCAAGGCATTGGATGGCTAAGTTATGCAATGCAACTAGACACCAGCTTTTCCATTATAAGCTAAGTTAAACTCCCTCCGTTCTAAATTATAAGTCGTTTTCACTTTTTTGGTTCATCCATTGCGTTATGTATCTAGACATATTATTATATCTAGATGTATAGCAAAATGGATGTAAAAAAGTCAAAACAACTTAGAACAGAGGGAGTACATTGCAACCAAACAACAGGTCCGATGACCTCGCTGAAGCGCCGACTACCGGGGTGGCAAGCCCGAACCCAAGAAGAGAGCGCACGGAGAGAGCGGAGGGAAAAATTAACATTTTTTATTTCTTATGGATAGTCCATATGCTTATGGATAATTTTTGTTGGAAACTGCTATATGTACTACCTCCACAATGATTCAGCTAGCTGGTAGATAATATTTTATTTCTTATAGACTACTTTACTGTTGTATTATGGTTGCTCTTATACGATGGCACTTTAGGAAAAGCTTAGAGCAAAATAAACTTTTGGGGCCAAAACGAATTACAATTAGGCAAATCGTGGGACAAAAAATGAATTAGAATTTAGTTAAAATGAGTATTAACTCTCCTTATTGTCATTAACAATGTTGCCTTTTCTACTACAGTCGAAATAAAATTGCAAAATCGATACTCTATATGAAGATTATCACATTTAGAAAGTGACTAACAAATAAAAAGGCGTGGTGCCTACTCCTCCCACACCCAATAGTTATTATGACTAGATCAGGCCAGCAGTCCGATCGAAAAAGACTGTAACCAAGACCCCGGCTGGTTCGGTCCAGATAAAAGATCAAAACGCAAGTAAACAGTAAAACTCGGTGAAATGACGGCTTTTATAGGAACTGAGGTATTAAACCGGGCGGCCGGCGCAGAAGGGGTGGAAGGGAGTCGCTGTAGGGGGAAATAAGACAAAAAATAGGTGTAAGCATCGATGGAGGGAATCAAACCTTTGCCACCACACTCAAAAAGGAGACATACTACTAGACCATGCTTTGGTTTGCGATTTTATTAAAAATCTTAGCCTATTTGAACCATGTTGAGCCGGCGGTTCAACCAATTGAACCAAACAAACCGTGAACTAGAGCTTCCACTGGTTCGACGTCCAATCCGGTCCTAATGACTATGCCCACACCATGGACGCCCCTCTCCGTGGCCACACGTAAGCTACGGCGCTACACGATGTCACATTGGTCTATATAAGGACCTGTTTGGCAGGGCTCCTCTCCGGCTCTGACTCTGGCTCCTGCGGAGGAGCCCTGCCAAACATTTTCATAGAGGAGCTATTTTTTTAGTAAAAAGCAGAGAGAAGCACCTCAAGAGGAGCCGTGCCAAACACCCCCTAATAGGATAACAAACTCATTGATCCAGCCTACATGACGTAGCAGACTGACCCTTCCGCATGTGGTCGCGTGCTCACCCATTGGAGCCACCAATCGCTCATTAGGGTTTGCATTGCATTGTTGATATTATTCCCTCCAGAAAACTTGAATGGAGACAATTCTTGGTTCAGCTAGCATGGAGCGAAGAGCCCCCAAGGGACGAGCTGTCAAAGACCAAATTGTCCAAGAAACAAAACAGTAGACGCTTGAAACGTTTTTAACTAGCAAACATGCTAGTGCTTTGCAACGGCTATGCTCACCTGGATGATTGCAAGGTTTATGCAACAATCATGCCATCTATTTTTTAGATCGGATTTCATGCCATCACAAGATGTCCCTTGTTCTAACTTTGTATAAGCGATTTATGCAACCATCATGCCATCTATTTTTGAAATCGGATTCCATGCCATCACAAGATGTCTGTTGTTTTAACTTATATATATAAGGGCCTGTTTGAAGCAGAGGAACGGAGGGAAACATATGAATAGAAAAGGAATAGAGGTAAAAAACATAGGATCGGAGAAACACAGGAATTCTATAGAAATTGGAGTTTGGAACACACGAATATGACTAGCATATATAGGAATTTAAGAGATTAGCTAGAAACTCAATGGCTTGGGCTAAGCATAACAGTAAACACAGTTCCTTTCGTTTTATAAAAGAGGTACATATAAGTTGAAGAATCATGGATGGCCCACGTGTCAGTATCTTATCCTTGCCTCTAGTCCTAGCCTCCTACTCCTGTTGCTGTGGTTCGCTCGAGCACTTTGTACTGCTTAGCGTCGGGCGACCTCAGCGTGCTGAGGCTATGGCGGATGGGTCATGGGGCAACCAGGTCTGTGGCTTCGATTTATATAGCAAAGGGGGTGGTATGCGGACGAGCCTCAATTCTGGGCTGACAAGGACAATGTACATTGGACAGTGAGCAAACAATGACAAGACACCAAGAAAAATAAACAAAAATGAAAACGACAGGACTGCAGGATAATTTAAGCCCCCGAAGGTTCTGACTGCCCTGACTGGATACCATCTATCTAGCCTTCATCCAACCCACAGGAGACAGGACTGGTCCCTTGTGAGGAACAAGGTCACATCTGTGGCAGCACAAATAGGAGACGAGTGAACACCCCCTTAGAACAAACAATGATCAATTTCAGCAATTACTCAAATCGCACATCCTCCTGGGACCTCAAAACAAATTGAAAAATAACAATACAACCAAAGATAAAAACAGTTCTAAACATGAATATAGTTGAAGGCTTCAACTTCAATTCTTTTAGTCAGAGGTTTGGCTCAAAATTTCAGTTCCAAAAGGTAAAATAAGATTCAAACCCAGTCTTCAAAAGGATTTTTTTCCCAAATCCACGGTACATAGAGCTTCAGAGAGTAATCTTACAAATAATATGTTCAATCAGGATTGGATAATGTACAGATCTTGCTTTGATATGTAATAGCATGACATTAAATTCCCCGGTTGCATGATAAACTGCTCTCTGAACTGGCCTACACGTTTG